CAGTTAAGTAGTTAGTCCAAGCGTAAAATATTTTTAAGTTAGGTAAAGTAGTGAATTTTATTTCTGTTAGTTGATTGTCCCAACATTTAAGTTCAATTAATTTCGAGTTCTCAGAGAGAATTAAAGAAGTTATTTCATTGTAAGAACAATTCAATTTTTCTAAATTAGGGAAGTCAGAAAGGTCTAATCTCCCAGTTAATTTTTTCCAATCAGGTTTTTCTTTTCACTCTTTTTCCTCTCAACCACTGAGGTCTAGTTCTTTGATTGTTTTATCTTTATAATTGTTATTTAGATATTCTTGGGCATTTACCATGAGATTTATTCTTTGGGTGGTATTTCTATTTGGGTTTGGTATTGTTGATTGTCTAGACCAATTATGAAGGTTTTTTCTTTAGTTTTTAATTCCTCCAATTTTTTATAGCCTTCTTCTATTCTGACTAAATCGATACGATGGCGAAGATTATCTTTTTGCTCTTTTTTTGATTCAGCATCATCTTTTATTTTCAACGCCAATATGGCAAATGTTTTATCACTTTCTCATACCTTTCTATTTGGAACTATAAGCACTCTACCTTCGCTTACTGCCTCAATACCTTCTTTGGTTCCTGACAAAGTTAACTTTTCTAATCTATTTTTTTCTCCAACTTTTACTCAAATTTCTCTCATCCACAGATTGCCTTCCATTGCTTCCCTCATCTCTACCTCATACAAACCACTACTTTTTTTGCCTATCACATATTCCGAAGCTTGAATTTTTATTCCTTCATTTGGCTCGAATCCAAGTTTTCCTTCCTCAGGATTATAATCTACTTTTATTCCTCCTGTCACACTACTTGATCCACTTTCATCTATGGCTGGTACTCAGCATAATCCCAATTTTCTGCTACCCCAACCACTCCAAGACAAAGGCTCGCCGTAGTTATTGTTTGCGGCAATAAGCATGACTTCTCGCAGTACTGACTCAGGGTCTTTTTCATAGTTAACTTCTACTTTATCTCCATAAGGCAATAAACC